GCTACGAATGAAATTCACTAGCTACCTATATACCCTAGTTAAATTAAATTAAACTAAGATAGAAAATGTATAGATCGTAATAGCTAGTTTGGATAGAGAGGAGTTCATAATAATTCCAGCTAACTAGAAGCTTTAGTCGGAAGTATACTAGAGAGTCTAGATAGGATATATTAGGTTAGTAGCAAATTCGGAAGGAATATAGGACTATATCGATCCTAATAGACCTAATAATAAGATCTTAGAGATTCTTATAGCTCTATCGGAGCCAGAAGTCCCTAAAGATAATTACAGACAACCGAAAGATCTTAAAGACCTATCTAAAGACAAGATCTAAGTATAGGATTTAAAGATAAGGATCTATAAGAGATCTGAATCAAAACATATAAAGCTCTTAAAGACAATAATATACTTAAATAGTCTTATTACCTGATTGTTAACTATTAAATATTACTATCTAATCGTGGACGAAGACTTACTAAAAGAGAAACTTTTGAAACTAGCTGAAATATTCTACCTAAAGCTGGAAAGCTACTAATAAGAGCTTTAATGAGCGTAGAGAGTAATAATTCGATCGCCTAACTAATCAATTAATATTAATTAATAGATTATCTAATAGGATTCCCTATTTAAAGAAGGGAAGGTTACGAAGATTCCTGATTACTTACTTAGAGATATATTTGCTATTAGAGATTTTCTTAATATTGTATAAAATATAGATAATACTTTCTATATAGGCTGGAAATAAAAGCTAAGTAAATGCCTGGATAAGGTTAAATTCTATAAAGTAATAGTAGATTATTAATACTACTGTACTAACCTATCTATAATATCCTAAAGATTAATATTGAAGATAGTATTTACGATACTAAATAATCAGCTAGAAGCAAAAGCTTTAGAGCTGAAGTAGTTGGATAAGAAATAGAGATATCTATATGGATTACTAAGATATTATTTCTTAAAATACTTCTATCTTAATAAAACTATTTATCTAGAGGGATAGGAACTTTATAAGGATATAGTTAAGAAAGTATAAGAGAATATTAAGAAGATAAGCTAATTAGATTATAATTAAATTAAGAAGATATAATAGAAAAAGAAAGAGGGTAATATAAAACTATATACTTAAGAAGAGATAGTATTTATAGTATCTTATTTCCTAATTAAGTAGATAAACCCTCTATAATTAAATTAGATTGTTAACTTTAGAGCCTTAGTCCATATCTATAATAATTATATAATATTTAAATATTTATTACTATAATCTAGTAAGATTAAAACTAGAGATATATATATAGAAATCCTTAGAACTAGAGAAGTTATAATAATAAATAATAATCCTTATACGAAACTTCTAGTTTGCTTGTATCTTAAAGATATATAGTATATACTAGGATTCTATATAAATATAATCTTATATAATTAAATAGAGTATAGTAGATTCTATTGGGATCTAAACAAAAGTATAATTGTCTAGAAAGACACAAATAAACTAATATTAGTAGTAAAAAGATAGAATAGCTTATATATTATTAATACTATAGACTCTATACTAATATATTTAGTATTCTTTATCTATTACTTAGAGAAACCCTTAATATTAGAAGTATCTATAGAGAGATAGTATTAATACCTAGGATATATAGTTAAATAGAACCTTTTAAGGATTTAAGAGATAGTCAAGGATATATAAATTACTAAAGAATTAAATAAAGATAAATAAAACTATCTAGAAAAATATAAAGTCTATTAATTTACTAAAATAAAGTAGTAGATATCTTGACGACTGAATATAAGAAGATTTAGTTAATTTAGATATATTTATTTTGATTTGATCTAAATAGATCTAGGCTATAATAGATATTGTTGGATTACCTATTTTTATATAATAGGAATATACTTATATATTATCTTTACGCACGAACAAAAAAATGGCTGTTAGAATATTGTTAGAGAATTTATTATGTACGTAAGAAATCAATAGAATCTACTAATTAAGGTATTCTATTACGATAATGAGCGATTAGCTAGTTATATAGTTGAAGATTTTATAGCTGAATAAGGCTTTATAGTAGAATATAGTATTGTTAGTACTCTAGAATAGAATTCTTTTATAGAAAGATCTAGAGGAGTAATAATTATAGTTAGTAGAAGCTTAATAATAGATTTAGACCTATTGAAAGCTCTCTAGCCTAAAGCTATCTAAGTAGTAGTATAGATTCTGAATAGATTACCTATAAAGATACTAGATAGAAAGTAGATTATCCTATATTAGGAAGTATTAATGCTAGTATTAAACTCCTTGCTGATACCTATTAACTTTATGAACCTAAAAGTATATAGCTATTATATATATATAAGAAAATAAGGTATTCCGAACGTTAATAAGATATAAATACATATGGAAATAGGTTATCTTATTGGATATAAAGCCTTAAATATCTAGAAGATTTGGTTTCTATAATAAGTAATAGTCTAAGAGGTCTGAGATATAACCTTTAATAAGAATAGATTCTTTGATCTATAAGATATTGTAATTGAATAGATTAGAAATAATATAGAAGCGATGTCTTAGATAGATAATAAATTAGAGTTAGATATAGAGAGAGATCTGATTAATGAATAGTCTCTGATTGGTTTATATATATAGCTTGAATCTTTAAATCAGTTAATTAGTAATTATGAATAGTAACTAAAAGAAAGGGATTAGCAGCTTTTGTTGCTATCCCTAATATCTAATAGAATAATTTAGAACAAATAAGATCCTACTGATTAACTCTAAGATAAGCTTATAGCTATAATCACGCTACGTGTACTAAGAGATATTAATAGAGATATAGACAAACGTAATATTATTATAGGGAGTTGTGTACGAAAGCTAAAAGAATTTAGCTTTTATACTAACGGTAATTATAAAGACGGAACTCTCTCTGTCTTTGTAACGGGACTAAATGATACCTGTTTATATATAAAAGCCTATAAGGATAAGCTTTTATCCACCCTAGAGAACTAGTGAGAGATAATGAAATATCTTTATTAAGAAGGCTTCCTAGAAGTATTAGTACTTAAACTAAAGATACTTGAATAGAAGGAAATATACTAGGTTATTTAATAACTAAATAATTAAAGTACCTAGATCCTTCTATTTTGTTGGGTATATATATATAAGTTTAATAGCGATGGCTTCTTAATTAAACTAAAAGTAAGAATCTGTATATGAGGTGATCTGTAAAAGATCATAGCTGAAGAGAAATATTTGGCTATATTAGTAGTATAAATAGTAAGAGCTATCTTTGCCTTAGTAGTAGTATTCAACCTTAATATTTACTAATTTGACGCTATTAATACCTTTCTTAATAGTGTATTTGATGAGGAAGTAATAATAGAGTTACTAGAAGGTTATTAATAACCTGGATAATACTAGAAGCTTATGAAAGCGTTATATAGCCTATAAAAGTCCCTATGTCTGTAGCAAAGAGAAGCCACAAAGATATTAATAAAGCTAGGATTTTAGGTAGTATAAGAAGATCTCTATCTGTTTGTAAATAATGGAATTATTATCTTCTTTTATATTGATAATATTATTATTGTTAACTACCCTTCCTAAGCTAAATAGGTATAAGAGCTTAGATAATAGCTTATAAATGAATAGAAGTTAAGAGATATTAGCGAGGCTGCCTGGTTCTTTAGGATTTAAATTATTTAAGATTGTAACTATAAGGCTCTCTAGCTCTATTAAGACTTATATATCTTTTTAATAGCTAGCTGATACTATCTTACCTATCTTTAATAAATAGCAACACTATTACTGAATATATCCTTTTAGGAGTTTAATGGTAAAGTAACACTTAAATAGATCCATAAGTATCAGTAAAAGGTTAGATTGGCTCTATACGCTACTATAATAATACGACCGGATATTACTAAATATATTGCTGTCCTTATATAGTTCCTAAAGAATCCAGGACCTAAGTATTTAGATGCGATTAATAGAGTGATTGCTTACCTTTACTATATATGATCGTACGCAATTACTTACCGTCCCTGACAATCTGATGAAATCGAAGCTGTTTCCTTCTTTATTGACACCTCCTTTGCTGATAATCTGGACCGGAAGAGCTTAGAAGGATATATATGTATGATTTTCGGAGGACCAGTTGAATGGAGAGCTAGAAAGTAACGTATGGTCATAACCAGCATGACTGAAGCTGAACTCCTTACTATCTCTGAGGGTGTAAAGACGATATAGATGTGGAAGTGTCTCTTTGTAGCTATTAAATTTGACCCTGATCACCTACTGTCGATTAAATGTGATAATCAACAGACAGTTGGATTGCTCACGAAAAAGTAGCCTCAGCTACATACGAAGTTATAGCATATAGATATTTATCACTATTAGCTTCGCCAGGAAGTATAGGCAGAAAATATTATTGTTCAATAGATAGGAATAAACGAGATGATTATAGACGGCCTCACTAAGCTCCTACCACGTCAGAAACACACCAATTTCGTCCGTCAGCTTGGAATTGAGGATATTAAGGATCTACTAGATTGATTGGTCTAACCTGAATAGAAGTAAATAGAGGATACTATATATACTGGAGGGGTGTGTTGAACTCTAGGAGAAGATTATTATCTTTCCTATTACAGATTGATGATTTAGCGCAGGCTTAGATCCTATATTACTGTTTTTGTATGTAAAGTGCACGTAAGCGTACGTATGGGCTATATAACTAGCCTATACGAATCAGGCAAGATCGCTTAACTCGATCGAGTACCTAGATAGAAGAACCCTCTCTAAATAGTATCCAGTTATACTAGTTCATACGTGTTCGCCCCTATCCGACAGAAAACTTTACGACAATTTACCCCGAAGTCGCGCGTATCTGCTGACATAGCTGCGCACGGGCCATAACTGGCTGTCCAGCTACCGAAAGAAGATTGGCTACAATAATGACGACCGGTGCGCATGCGGCGCGCAGGAGACGGTCGCTCATGTATTAATGGACTGCCCAAAGCTACGAGAGCTACGGTCGGAACTGAAAAGAAAAGTTGGGGACGCGTTTGACAACGTGTCGAGTCTGCTGGGAGGCTCCAAAGAAGGTGAGAAAGGTAAACCAGATATCGTCTCAAGGGCGAAGACGGTCCAGGCTGTATTGGACTTCGCCGAGGCGTCGCAGCGGTTTCGCAGTCGTGCGCCATGAGGGCAGCCTAACAACGGAAGCGGCGATGGGCCTCGATAGGCCGTGACGAGGCTCTAAGTTCCAGTCAGGAAGTGGATCATTCTACATGTACATAACCATGATATATAGTTGTCGTATACTGCATATCGTTCGCGAGGGGATAGTGTAAATGAAATTACTACTACTACTACTCCTGTATAGGAGTCGCAATCGAGAAACAGCCTCCTCGAAATCGGAAGTTGAAGTTTAAAACCTTTTCCACCACACTAGGCGCGAGAGCAGAGCAAAACCCGTTCTCTGTGGAGCTAGCAGCCATAGCACATGTGTTAAAAATGACAGTGGGTATCAAAGACTACAAGATTACGTTGTTTATAAGCAACAAGGCGGCAGCGCTTACACTAAGGAACCCTCGACGACAGTCTGGCCAAGAGTTTATTTATCAGATATACAAGCTGATGAGAAGGTTGCGAAGGAATAGAAACCATATTAAATTCCACTAGATCCCTACTAGTGAAGACAATAAGCTGTTAGGTCTAGCTAAAGAACAGGCCAGAATTGCAATACAAGAAGATTCTCTCCTATAAGAACGTGTCCTGAGGATAAAGTCGACAACATTGAATATTGCACGATCCCAAGCAGTCCCCAGCAATAAGCTACCACAGAACGTAGGAAGATATGTGAAACGAGTAGATACCACACTGCTAGGTAAACATACCCGGTAGTTGTATGATCACCTAATGTGGAAAGAAGCAACCATACTGGCCCAACTCCGTACCGGCATAGCTAGACTAAATAGATATCTCAACCAAATTAACGTAGTCGAGACAGATCAATACAATTGCGGATAAGCAAGAGAGATAGTAAAACACTTCCTCTTCCGCTGTCGGAAGTAGACTACACACCGCACGGAACAGCTATAATGTACCCAGACTCACTAAAGAAACATCTCCTTCGCCCTTAGGGGGAAACAGTCTTCCGATGATCAGAAGTGGACACTAAATCTAGAGGTAGTACAGGCCTCTATACGTTTCGCCATCGCAACGGGCTGACTTGAGGCCACTTAAATATATCGATTAATATAACCCCCACCCCCTTCTTCTGATCTTACTTACCTACCACCTTGTGCTACAAAAGGTAGACGCGCTTTAACTGCTGAAGATAGAATATTAAACACTTGGAGAAACACCTTCAAGCCAGCCTACTAACCTATTTACTAACCTATGAGAAACTCACTACGACACTACTTTCTAGAAATGTTATATGTTATAAGGTTTTATGTATGGGCTTTCAGGAGATATAGTATATACAGATGGATATGTATAGTAGATCAGTGATAGTTACCCTTTCGGCTAAGCCGCCGGGTGTTAATAAATTGTTTGTTTGTTTGTTTGTTTATTTGTATATATAAATCTGGAGTTTAATTAAATACCAATAAACTTGATGTTAGGATTTTGTAGTAATCTATTATGTAGCATCGCTCTCAAGCTGCTTTATTTCATATGTAGAATGCGGAAATCAACAGCGGCAATGCCACTGTAACCCCAATCTATAGAAATATATATATCTGCTTCTTTTAGATAGTATCACCCGGTGTCCTGTTAGTTGCGAAGATGGGACAAACCGCAAGACCGCTGTATTATCTAGGATTTTCAACGCTCTTTCGGTCGGATAATCTCTAGTATAAGGCATATAATACCTCAATAGAAGCTTCTAAAATAAGTTCTTACGAGTTTAAAACCTTACAACCACTCGTGAAGCCTTATAAATTTTAGAAATGCAAGCTAACTGTATTTTATTGAACTGGCATAAGAGATCATCGACTTGTCGGTCACAGGGCTTGTGTATAAGTTCACCTAACCTCAAGAACTTGTATAATGTATTAGCCAGGGAAGCAGCATCCTCGATAGAGAAATTTACACCCTATGCAAGGTTTGGCGTCATCTAAGGAATTAGCAATAAGAAATGAAGTGGTTAAAGTTTCTAGGAAATCAAAGGTATTTTGTGTATGCTATCGCCGATGCAGACAATACAGCTACAGTGCTATATCTAGAAAATATTCTTTTTAAAAGAGGTTATAGAAAACACTTTTCAACTCTTCTATAGACTCAAAGTGAATATTATTCTATATATATATGTCTTTTAACTATTCACACCGTAAGACACCATCTATAGGGGTGAAGCGTGGTGCACTACCATATTGAAATATCCTATCTAATTTGAGTACGACGAACTAGGATACTCGTCCTCTAGTTCCAAGGACAACAATAAAAGAAACCCCATTGTAAATGCTTAGATACAGGTGACTAATTCTAAGTTTTGGAATAGCCAAGAAGATACCGAAGATACAAGTATAACCAACAGTTATGCCTGAGTCAGATATTTTCTTATCAGCCATTGTTTCTTCCTTAATATTTAAGCGAGTAATATAGACGATAGATACAATAGATACCTATCTTTTCGTCACTGGTTACCAAGCTAGGCCGCACCTTCTCAGTAATGTCCTATATATGGGTCTACACTTAGCTATAAACACTGTCTACTCTAACAAGGAGGGTATCTTTATATGAGTGTCCACTCTACATATATACTACTACACCATTATTTTCCAAGTGCTCAACATGAACAACATTCCTATTCACGTATATATTGGATTTTTCAGGATAAGGGGCATATAGGATATAGAGGAGCAATTACCATTCAAGGAATATTATGGGAAAACCGAAGCTAATAAACACTATCCAATTAGAGTAGACCTTGTTGTAATAAGTAGGTAATAGCAACTTACATATCATACATAGTCTTAAGATAAGCGTTACTAAACTAGAACCCATCTAGAAATCGGATGTGGGCAATATGTATCAGCTCAGCCAGGTTCTTCACACTATCATAAAGCCCTAGTTACTCTAAAATCTATCCTCCATTTAGCATAATTGCAACAGAGACTCCTTCATCAGCCGCAATCTCGGAACATTTTTCGAGGACTATATTATCGATTCCCGCTTTATGGAGACTATGTGCTAGCAAGAGGCCTGTAATTGAACCCCCAACAGTGATAACCTTAAAAAAAGGACCAGCCATCTCAAAAATTCCAGTAGGTACCAAACACTAAAGATAAAGATAATAACACAACCTCAATAGAATAATTACAAGAATAATTACAAGAATACATAAATCTACATATTTATTGTATTGGGAGATACATTACATATTTAGCTTCAATTCTATTCGGCCATCTCTCGATACCGTCATAACCCACACTTTGTTAGTAGTCCCACCCTATACAATATCACACACTTAGATCCATAGCTGTCCAGTCTGCTATTCCATTAGGTCCTACTCCATTTTTTTCGTATTGATACCGCTTTCAGCAATAAAATTCCAATAGTCATCGATAATTTGCCATCCTCCTATACGCAACATCTTCTTATCTCTAGTCATACCATACATGTTTACTATACTTATCTCCAGATTCTGTACATCCTTACTATCGGTATTCACGTACATTCAACGTCTCTTCGCTTTCCAATCATTTGATTTTCCTGTTCTTTTTTCTTCAGCGTACCAAGAATCATTACTGCACCGTTCAGACCCACGGATAGACCATAAAGTACCCCATAAGAGACGTCCAACAAAAAAAACATTATACCTCCCCACCAACCTAGCGGACTATACCAAACGACATTTATATATCCATATCGGTACCGCAGAATCTCATAGAGTAAGGCAAGGACAGTCCCAACGAATCGACTAGCCCTAGAATACCAAACAAGTCAGCCATCAAATGGAAAAGACAATGGTCTTCCAGTATGAAAACGTACCAAATAAATAACAATATTCCGTGTGTACTACCTCGAACTATAAGCTAGTATAGCCCACCAGGACTGAGTAGCAGCTGGTAGAACCAGGAGCTCCGAGCTGCTACAGCACTCTATCCAACATAGGCGACCAGGGTCAAATACACAGATATCTATATAGTTATACTGACGGCGAAAATCCAAGGAAGATTCTACTTTACTAATGGTGTGTGCGACCACTTGTTTGGAGCAAACTTTATAGCGGTGTATATAATAAGGAAATTGAGAGCCAACCAGCTAGTAAATATATATAGCCAAATCAGTATATCTAGAGGATAGATAACACCATAAACAAACTCACAGGCGATGTTGCAATAAAGCGGTATTAGAGCTATACCATAGGTGCAGTCTTAAAACGATTTGCGAATCATTGCAATGTAATTAGCCAGCTAACCAACACACATTCCGATACTAAGGATTGTGAGAGACCACGGTGTATCACCCACCGCATAGGTCTCTTGAAGAGGATTATGCTGAATCATATTGAGCCATGGGCAAAGATACAATTTAGAGGTTCCAGATATCATATTTATATCGATATTCTTCAAGGACTTCACATATAAGAACGTAATATATATTAACAAGACAATAATCATTATACTTTAGAAGATAAGGTCAAAATTTTACAACTTTAATTCCAAGCACCACACTTGACCCAGGATTAGTAGATGTAAAAATCTACTTAGTGGCCCGGTGTAGTTCCATAAAGCCCTAAATCTTCGAAGACTATAGAAAATCCCAGTAAAAAATTCCACGTTTTTTATATAATTCTGGTGTAAAGACTAGCATAATATGGATGTTTGCGGTCTGGTAAATTCGCTTTATCTACTGGAAGAGCAAAAATCACTCAGATTAGGTTTCTAAGCCCTACAGTTATACTCGTTATTATATAGCCAAGGCCTAGCACTTTTAATTGAGAGAGATATCTGCTCCGGGAAGCTCCATATTAGGTAAACCGACCAAAATATCTCATCATTCACCGAATTAGAATTTTCTGGCTTAGGGTGGGTACGGGCCGCAGAATCCTTCTACTAAAGGTAGTCACATAAAAAGGCTATACATTCTTAACTTCCAATAAGCATAACAGAAATGATATATTGCCCAGATATTGTACAAAGTTAATGAAGAGGAATCACATACATAAAGAACAAATCTATAAGTGTATAC